CTATCTATCTATCTATCCATCCATCCATCCATCCATCCATCCATCCATCCATCCATCCATCCATCCATCCATCCATCCACGTACCTACCTACCTACCTTTAATCTATCTGGCTATCATCTATTTATCTTTTATAAATACAAGAGGCTTGCTTATCTAGTCATTAAAAACTATGACTAGCTTGCTCTTATATTTTTAAAACCATATCATATGCTTTTTAAAAAATGTTTCTCTTGCCTTGTGTTATAGTTATGCATTTATCTAGCCAATGCGAAAGAAGATAGTGATGTAATGAAGTCTTGACAGTATTCCCTTGTTACAAATGCTCTTCAGATGCTAGGCACTTCCTGGAGAAACTGAATGGAGACTGTATTTCTTAGAATGTGATTTTTGACCCAGTAGGTTTGCTGCTAGAACTACTGCTAGAGATTTATCTGGGAGAGTGACTTGACACTGTTAAGCATGTTGAGAAAAAGAGCCACAGTTTTTAGATCAGTCAAGTTAATTCTCTCCTTGGAAAATAATATCAAAGGCCATCTTTTACCATCTTTAGAAAGCATGCAGTTGCAAAGGAGGATTGCTCGCTTAGAACTAGCACAGAGAAACTACTGTCTGTTTATGCTGATAATGTCTTTCGATATATTTGGCTATTATAAACTCTGCTCTTTTCGTATGTCAAAGAACTAGTTTCAAGAAGATTTTTTTTAAAAATAACTCCAGTTTGAAACTACTTTCTCTACAGAAAGAATGCTGCTTGGTTTCTAAAGGTTTGGTAGAATATGAAGTGAATATGATGTAGGATGTCAGGAATAACACGGGGTCACCTTTATCAAACACAATATTGCCACTGTACAGACACAGTGCAACCAGTAAAAGGATCTCTCACCCTAAACATTTTGATAGGGAACAAAGCCATTTGAAATTAGTATTCTCATCTGATCTATTCAAAATAATAAGTTCAAATGTTTTATGGAATACAGCCTAAGATACAAGCTATCGGGACATTCTCCTGTACAATCACATAATGCTATAGGATTCTTTGGTTAGTTGCATACAAAGTTAATGGACGCCTTTCTATAAGGCTTCTAGGTCTGGAAAAAAAATGCTTAATCTTCACACAGCTCTTGCCCTAAAGTATTAATTCCCCTAATCGTTAGCAGATGAAATAAGACACCCTAAAATTACCCATGGCAGATTTAATCTAGCTCCTCCAAGGGGCAAAACTGCATCTTCTGAGCTTTGTGCATCAACTGATCTCGTATTACACGCATATTTTGAGTTGTTTTGAGTTGAGAATTCATGTCTATACATTGCAAAAATTAACTATCTCTTGCTTCTACTCTTTCGTTTGCATTTCCAAAGCCACACAATGCACACTTAGCCTTTTGAAAGGAAGGACACTTCAAACCTCTTCCAATTTCAAATGGCTAGTCACATGATTGCCATTTGGAAATGGTAGATTTCTCTCTTGATTATCACTCCAATCAAACAGTTTGGGATCAGTTGTATAAAAAAAATTTGTAAGTCACCAAAACAGCATTTGGAGGCTCTAATGTGACGGACTGATTTTAAAAATGTTAAGATGCAAGAGTCCTATGGCTATCAAACATACTTATCCTTTCCCCCAAATTACTATGCAAAATACTACGTTGCAGCTCCAACATATCTATAGACATGTCATATTATGGAGAGCTGACCTACTAGGCACGTTGTATACAGTACTGCATTTTTAGCTTAAAAATTGCTTTGGCAAACCTTCAGAATAAAACAGGAGGTTAATTTAACCTTGCTGAGGATGTAGAGCTTTTGCTGTCCCCGGGACAACACTTGGATGAGAACTACCCCACATTTTTTCCCCACTTCAGTGTTTGAAAAAAAATAATGAATCCAAATGTTGGTAACAGGAAACAGATTTTCAGTTTAATGCATTGAAAGCATATGCATGCTCAATCTTGCAACATATGTGAGAAATGAGAATGAGATGGGAAAAAAATCTTGGCAATACTATTTTTGTAACACTTTTTCCTATTATAAATAAACTAAGATTTGTTTTTGTTGTTTTAACAGACTTCTAAATTTCCTGTTTAGCTTTTACACTGATACAGCACCAAAGAATGCCATTTTCAGACTTTGAATGTACAACAACTGAATACAGAAGAGCTTCTACAGCATTTTTTGAGGACGACAAATGGGGCCAATATACCAATAATTGTTACCCGAAAAGCATTTATTACTATGAGTTCAATATGCAAAACTTAAAAAAATTCTGATTATATGCTGCTAGGAAAGCATACATTTTACATTCAGGAAAAGAAAGCCACCCATCATGTCTTATGTTGTCTGATTCAGAGAGAAAGGGGGCTACCTCTCCAAGTTGCACAATGCCTAATTCTGTGGCAGCCAACTAAAAATATAGCCCTTCTTTCAAGTGACCATCTGCTTTTTAAACAAAAAGCAAGTGACAAATTCTTATAATTAGTGATAATAGTAGCTTTAGTTTTCATCTGTACTATTAAAAATCAAAACCAAAGGCTAGATTCCAAATTTTGAACTTTACTTCTACACTATGAAGTACCCACAGCTAAGCTTTTTTTAAAAATCTTTCTCTGTCAGTATAGTTATTTTAATTTCCTGGGCAAGCACACACACACGCACACACAATATTGTAATATCATTTCCTGAAAACATCTTGAAGAAATGGGCAGATAACATTAGCTTGATCCATTGACTAAATGATTGGCTAATTTAAATGCAGTTTGTGTCTACCCTGAAAAATAACTATTACTATTTTAGAGCATTCCTTGCAATAGAGTGATGCTTCCCCAGATCACACTACAGAAAACCACACTTTCTCTGCCAAAGGGAAACCTTTAAAAGGATTGTTTGATTCTTTAGCAGCTGGAAGTCATCATTGCATAGCATAAAACTTGCAGACAAAGCAAACCTGCATCTTCACAAAAATATGAAAATAAGGTTCATCCGAACGGCACTAAGCATCTGTAATATGTCCATACCACCTTAATGGAAGGGAAACCCTAGTTGTGTAATAAGAGATTTTACACACAGAGAGGCGTACAAAACAAGGCGCACAGCTCAGCTAGTTCTTTCCTTCATTCAGATCTGCCTTTAGTTCTGGATTTCCATCACAAACATACAACCTACAAAATAGCAGGGACAGTGAAAAACCGATCACCACAACCACCGCATGCTTTCACAAGAAGACTTCGCGAGTGAGTGGGTGGCGAATTTGATAAAACTATTCCCCCCCGGCTACCGGGCAGTAATGAGAAAGCCAGTTTGGAATCAGCAAGATGATACCCCTGTGGCTGGGCAGCTTTTGCCCCTCCGTGATCCTATGGAAAACTGTACAATTCACTCAGGAAGGGATTCCCCACCCGCCCACTCAATTCGATTGCAGCGGTCGGTTACACAGGATGGGAGGGGGAAGGACCAATATTTGCTCCCAAAAGGAGGATACTTTGGATCCGTTTTACTTATTTACTTATGGGCATCCCAGCCCCCACCTCCCGCTCTTCCCCCCGCCCCGCCCCCATCGACTTACTCTAGCCTTCTGACTAAGCCGCCTTTGCCAAGGGTTGGGGGGCTTTTGTGCGGAAGGAGGGCAGGGCAACAGCTCTTTTCCCGGCTGTCCTCGTGGTGGTGCTGGTGGTGCTGGAGGGAAGGGTGCTGGTGTGAGATCGGCGTCCGGGTGCCGCTGGGGCCGGCCTGAGCCTGTTTGCTACTGCTGGGAGGCGGCGGCGGCGGGTGCCGCGGCGGCGGCTGCTGGAGCGCCGGGAGCTGTTGGTGGTGCTGAAACTCCTCCTGCTCAGCCGCCGCCGGCTGCTGCTGGCCCTGAGGCGGAGCTCGGCAAGGCAAGGAGGCAGCAGGGGGAACCCTCGGCTGCAGCGGCGGCGGCGCCGGGGCTTCCGCCGGGAGCGCGTAGTGCTCCCGGAGGCTGCGGTTCTCGGTGCTGAGCTCGTCCAGGCGCTTCTCTAGCTCGTCGATGCGCTGGCGCTGGGTGTGGATGAGGCTCTGCTGGTTCTGGACGATGGCGGTGAGCTCTTTCAGGTAGAGCACGGCGCGCACCGGATTCTCCAGCAGGCTCTCCATGCCCCGCGGCCGGACCCCGCCGGCAGCCGCCTGCTACGCTGGGCTTCGCCGAGCCTCGCGGGAGACTCCTCCGCACGCGCGCGCTTGCTTCGCCTCTCGCTCCCTCGCTTGCATGTACACACACACACGCAAAGCCTACACACGCAGGAGAGGCGGCTGGCGCCAGCCTCGTTTCCTCACGTCACGCACAAGCGGGGGCGGGGGGCAGACAGGCTCCGCCCCTTGCCCGAGAAAGACCGCCCCTCCGTCCTCTTCCCAAGGGCCCCGCGCTGTGCCGAACGGGGGGAACCAGAAGCGTTTGAGGAAAGGGGGAAAAAACACCGGGCGAGTAAAGGCAGAGCGTTTAAAATCAAAGGAAAAAACGGCGAGGCGCTGATTATTGTTGCTTTGGGGTGGGGGCTAAAACGAGACGTGGCGTGATACCACGGTAGAAGGTTGCGATCTTGGGGACAACTCAAAGCCTCCGCTCCACCGAGGGACCAGGGCTTCCCTGGATGCTGCGTGCCTTGTCTCTTTGCCGCTTAGGAAGGAGGATCGCGGGGCCTGGGAAATATGGCATTCTTACGGAGTGTAATAGAAAGAGAAATTGGGCAACCGGAGAGGGTAGAAACAGAAAGAGACGCAAGAGAAGTTGATACTTCTCAAAGCAAATATTGTAGGAAGAAAGCTATGATTTAGTCCAAATCAAGAGGAATCTGCTGGCAGGTTTTGTTTTGTTTTTGTTTTGTTTTGTTTGGTGCCCGAGTCCCTGATGTTTTCTTGACAAGATTTCAGAAGTGGTTTACCATTGCTTCCCTCCTACTGCTGAAAGAGTGGGGCTGGCCCAAGGTCACCCAGGTGGCTTTGTGCCTGAGGAAGGACTAGAAACTCACTGTCTCCTCATTTCTAGCTTTGTGCCTTAAGCTCTACCCCAAACTGGCTTCTAACTCATATGTTTTATGAAAAGCCAAGCTTTCCTGAACTACTGTTCATTTCGTCAGATACACGGAGAGGCTAAATGTTAGCCTTTCTGATGCAAAGGTAAACTGGGATGAGGCAAAGTACAAACAAAGGGGAAGTTGGGGTGGATATGCAAATGCAGGAAAATGTGAAACAGATTAAGAGCACCATGTTTACCATCCAACTCTATCACCTGTCCTCACCTGTGACTACTTAATTTTGGCAACAACATGTAGTTGCAGATCAGTAGCAAAGCAAAGGACGTTCACATGGCTCAACAATATGGCAACATTGTGACTAACTTAGAACAATGTTTCTTCAACAATGCTTACCTCCTGAAATCCTTTCCTTTACTGGTGACAGTGAATTATCTGAACCCGTGGGAAAGTATCTCTTAACAAACTTCACCAAAACTTTAACAACTTCCATCTGACCATCAACTTTAACCTTAATGTAGTTGCAGAACAAGTCCACTTCCTTGATGTCAGAGTAAAAATGCAGAACAGACACATACATACCACATTGCACACAAAAAAACCCTACAGTTCCCATGCATACCAAAATGTTTCCAAATTCCACCCAAGACACATCAGCAAATTTTCATCTATAAACGGGATCCACATTACAACTGCATTTGATCTGATTCATTTGACAGTGGTGCTAAATTGATGGAATTAAACCAGGCATTCAGAAGACTGGACTACCCACTCAGCAAAATCAACAGACAAATCAAGAGTGCCAGATTGGTTCCCAGAGAAGATATATTAAAAGATCACAAAAACAGTCCAACACTGGTTGTCACCTACAACTCATAGCTCAAGTCACTTAAACGCATATTAATAAGCTACAACCCCTATAGACAATGACCCTGCATTTTCTCAGGCATTAGGTGGCAGGCCCATACTTGCATATAAAGCACCCAATCTAAAGTTAGTTCTCACAAGCAAAGAGAAACTAATGCTAAAATGGGAACCAGATCTTGCAAAAAGATCTAGATATCTACACTCCCCCCCTTCACTAAAAGCATTTACATCAATAGCATTATCATCTGCTCCAGCAACTTCACATACAAGATCAGAGGCATCTTCATATGCTCTTCCTCCAAGGTGATCTATGCCATCATCTTCCAGCCATGCCCCTATGGATTTTGCATAAGACAAACAGGCCAGGCTTTGTGCAAAAGAATTAATGGACAGATTTGACATCAGAATCTCAATCAATAAAGTAATACAGAGGCACAGCATTCTAACATCCCAGGGCACTCCTTTTCAGATTTCAAAACAGCTGTTGAACAAAGAAATTTCACCAAGACAGTTGAACAATAAATTGTCAAACTCACATGTCTAATGGAGATTCTCAGCCATGCTTGTCCCAAAGGTGCTTTTTTCAAAAGGCAACTGGACTTTTCTAGTTTGTTTGCTTTCTTGAAAATGTTTTGCTTCTCATCCAAGACCTCAGAACTGAAGAAGTTCCTTGGATGAGAAATGAAATGCTTTCAAGGGGGGAAAAAACAAGAAAAGCCCGGTTGTCATTTGAAAAAAAAAAAGCTCCTTTGTTGAACTCACAGACTTGAAAAAATTTCAGGCTACCTCAGAAGGTCGTAACAAACACACTGGGTTTTAATACAATTATAATTTAATACAGCCACAATATGCCTCACGCATAACCTGGGTCTGCATAATCATCTATCTCCCCTCCCCACCTTTGTTGTTGTTCAGTTGCTAAGCTTTGTCCAACTCCATGGACCATAGCATGACTGGCTTTCCTGTCCTCCATTGTCTCCTGGAGTTTGCCCAAATTCATATTTGTTCCCTCAGTGACACTATCTCATCCTCTGCCATCCCTTTCTTCTTTTGCCTTCAATCTTTCTCAGCATGGGGTCTTTTCTGATGAGTCCTCTCTTTTCATTTGATGGCTAAAGTATTTGAGCCTCTGTCCTTCCAAACCATC